AAATATTATGGTCGATTTTTTATTAAGCTGAGCGAGATGTACCACGAGCAAGATGAGAGCCCGAGACAAAGAATTTTTGGTTGAAAAAATAATTAAACTTATCAACCAAGTTCCTAAATAATTTATAAAGTAAACTATGTCCTCCACCAGTCTGGTTGCTCAATATTAAACATAAGTTGCGGACATGCCTGCTTGCTTAGCTTCTTTAGTAGCCATCACATGACAATCACAAGCTACCTGCCTGCTTGGTTTCTTAAATTGTTATGTGAGAAACACATGAAAGGGCTGGAGATTTTTTCATGGTGAGGAAAGGACAGCAGCTTTTTCTGTGGGTGCTAAAGCAGCTGGACAACTATCCACACTCAGCCAAACTTTACCCATAAGAGAAACCCTCACCTGAAGCAGGCTTCCCTCTTATTTATCCCCTTCTTCAGCTGATTCCCACGTCCATAACTCTGCAGAAAAAAAAATTTAGAGAAAAATCAGAGAAGTTAAGAGAGAAAGAAGAAGAGAAAAGCTAAGAGAAAATCAGTGCAGTTTTGGTGATTCAATCTTGATCAAGTCTCAGCTAGTTCGTGGGATACGGAACAAGGTGAGATATTTGATTTAGAATAAACCCTAGATCTAGTTCAGTTTATAGCTTGACCAAACCTTGATCTTTCTCTTTAAATCAATCCAGCCGAAACCTATGTTTGAAGGAGAGATCTGTTGGAGACCATCGATCGGTTTTGATTTTGGGGTAAGCTTCATCATCTTTCCTCAAACCTGTCTTGATCAGAACTAGCGGATGTTTAGCTCATGTCTTTGTCGGATCAATTAACTAAGTGTTTAAGAATTCAGTTCTAGTTTAATTTTGGTTTGGAATCAATCTTTAAAAACAACTAGCTAGCTGTTATGGACTGATTGAAGTTTAAACCGAACTTAACCTAGCTTGGTCCTGTCATGAACTGTTGTGAACTGCTTAGAACTGAGATGAACTGATATAGGATGAAAGAACCTAGCTAAGTTCAAAGCTTGAACTGAATTGATTTAAGTTCAAAGCTTGAACTAAACTGTCGTAACATTAATGTTCTGAACCGAACAAAATTATCTTGTCTTGAACTGATCTAAGTCGAGTTGTCTAGGGTCCTAGCTTGTCATATCTTAGTATAGTCTGAGCTGATCTGAACTGCCAAGCTTTGTCTTGAACCGAGCTGATTAAATCTGATTTAAATTCCTCATCAAAACCGAGTTGTTGTGAAAGGATGATCATGATCGGAACTGTATTTTCTCAGGTCTGTCCAGCCTTGTTCAAGAGCGACCCAAGCCTTGTCCAAGTCAGTTTGAAGAAAAATCTTTAGGTGAGTTTAGATGGATGTGATGATAGATCACAATTGACTGTTTGGTTGAATGATAATGGATTACTCGGATAAGTAGTAAAATCTCTAAAATTTATATGAACCGTGTGGTGTTTACTTAAGTGTAAACTAGCTTTTGACCCGCGCGCCCGCGCGGGTTATGTCTTTGCTAATAATATGTTTTAATTTTTGAAATGTTATAAATATAATTTTTTAAACTTATAATTATTTTTTTTTACGATATGTGATTAGTCTTTTGTTATAAAATATGAGATTGTTTATTTTGCTAATATAGCATAGATACTTTTTTATTATAGTTAATTTTTAAAAGATAATAATTTAATGTTTTTATTTACATATTTCATTCGAAAACACATATGTACGGATGTTTGTTCTTCATAATCATAAAACTTTTCCAAATGCGCCAAATTTAATTGTTTAGATGGTTTATATGTTCTAGATTCATATGTTATTCAAGATTGACATTTTTAAATGTAATTAGTGTTCATTTATAAACAATGAGTGATATTTGACTTGGAGAGAACCAAGTACCAGTAATCAAGCTGCAAAAGAAGACTCAAAGTTTGACGGGACAACAAACTGAAGAACACGGTCAGTAACTAATTATCTATTGTAAGTACTTCTTAAGATGGAAGAAAAATTAAATACTATAGTCTAACATAAGTTAGTAGATTAAACAACTCAGGCTTAAGTTTAGATGTTTATGTTTTACTTGCGAAAGTAGGTTGATGTATATTTGGGTTTATGTTAATGATAGTCTTATATAAGATCAGATTTATTTTGATATGGTTTTAAATAACCAAATAGAATTCAGAATTTGTAAAAATTAAAAGAATAACGTTCTTATTCAAATGAATTCGTTTAAAAAAAAAGAATATGAAGAGTAATAACTAAAAAAACTTTGTGAACCACCAAACATTCTTCCACCATATAGAACATGTGAAAGACTGAAATCTGCAAAAACAAAGTGGAAATTATTTAAATTCTAACTCTTTATTTGATACACAAGAAAACAATTAACTCTAACAACACATTCAAAATTAAACAGTATAAGACATACCTTATGACCTCAACTGCTAAAGATTGTTGAATACTTCTTTGAAAACTACACATAGTTTTTTTCTAAGGTTTCCCATCTTCGTATAAATTCAAAATTTTCAACCCTTTTTTGAAGTGATTCTAGAAACAGCCTCATATAGCTGACCATGAGAAAATACAGGTCTTGGTAAAAGTAGTGATTTGTGACATTTTCGGAGGAAGTGGTTACAATAATATGGTATTTAGGTTATGAGGGAAGAAGTATATATAGCTAGTTAGTAAAAGTAGGTTAAATTATTTAGTTGTGATTTTCAGCATTTAAAATCGAATATACCCATTGGATATTAGTCCCAATCTTAAACATTTGAATTTGAATTAGACATTATTTTTGCTAATTGAATATATATTATTCCCGTGATTTGGAAGATTAGGAAGAAAATAAGAATCTTTTGGTAATTGGTTGAATATCTTTTGGTGATTGGTTGAATATAGATTTTGTTATGATGGTTGCTTAACTATAGGTAAATATTTAGGAAAGTCATCAATAATTTTGATGTCGAATTATTATAATATGTATAGTGATAATATCTTTTGGTGTAAGTTTGTTTTGATTTTGGATGATCTTAATAATGGCTGATAATGATATATTAGGATGTCAAAAAAAAAATGATCTAAATATAACATATTGGTTTTGCTTATGTAGACCAAGCTTTCCAAGGAACACCGAACAATGAATTGGATGTTTAATTCGAGAAACGTAAAGATATATAACTATTGACTCTTTTGATGATATAAAGCAAGAGAAACAATGGCGCACAAAAATAGTTTAGATGTTTCATTATTAGTGATGCTGTAAAGCAAGAGAAAATCGATTCATTGTGTGCTGGTTTTGTAACCGTATGGTTTAGTATTGAATTGTGATGTTAATGATTTAGTTTGGTTTTAGGATGACTCAAGGAATAAATTAGAAAACGTAAATGTAGGGTCTGTTTTAAAAGAAAGATCAAAACTACAGTGTTTAATACCAATGGCATGAGATTGTAATTTCTGTGCAACTCTAAGGGATAAGTACTATTTGTACTTCAGTTTTAATAGTTTAGATACTTAACACTTACAAAAATTTTTGGAAGTATACATTGAGGTTAAGCCACATCTTAGTACTTGTTCTCAAGTATTAGCTATAATTAAAAAGCATGTATGAATTAATCATGAAGTAATAAGATAGTAAGAATCAAGCGAGAAACTTATTGAATTGGGTCAAAAACAAGTAGTGTACATAATTTATGGAAGAAGATGTATCTATATTAAAGTTTTAGTTTATGAGTTATAATCCAAAACAACTTAGTTGAGAATTTTTTTCATCAAAAACCAAATTTTAACAGCCAACTTTTAAAACAGCCTAAGTTTTCAAAATCATAAACAATTCGTACCTATATTTCTATTTTTTGCTTTACTTATGTTTAATAATAATCTCTACGTTTTTTTTTTTTTTTTTGTTGACCAACAAAAAAAAAAAAATAATCTCTACGTTGTCATTGAATTGAGTCAAAAACAAGTAATTTGTGGAAGAAGATGTAAAGATCATATATAAAGAAAAAAAATTATCCAACTTGATTTAGCCTCATAATTAGGGTTGGGCGCAAGGCGAGTACTTGCTATTTTACGTGTATTTGATACTTGAATTGCCTTGCACGAGTAATAAAACTTTTGATTTGTATTGACTTGTTAAAAACGAGTACTTGCTATCTCGAGTACTTGATCAAATATCAGTTACTTGCAAGTTACTTGCCTCGCTTTATTACTTATTAGTTACGAGTATTTGTGAATTATCTATGTGTATTTGTTAGTGTTTAAAAATTAATTACTAAATAATTATATACCAAAAGGACATGAAGGTTTACTTATTTATTTTACTAAAAAGAACATACAATTACTTTTAAAAAAAATTATGCATAACGAGTTTAATATCTTATTTAGTAATGAATTGTCATGTTTATTAAATTAATATTTGTATGAAACTAACATCAAATCAAGACAATTATTATTTTTTGCAAGTAACAAGTATTATTATCAAATAACGAATATTTTGTAGAATGAGTAACGAGTATTTATAAAACGAGTAATGAATACCAAGTAACGAGGTAAGTATTAAAAAATGAAATAATACTTGATACTTGCCTTGCCTTTGCGTGTAATAAAATTTGTTGACTTGTTACTCGACTTGGCAACACCGAGTACTTGGATTTTCAAGGCGAGTACGGGTTAAGTAACGGGTATAAGGCGAGTATCGAGTAATGATGCCCAGCCTACTCATAATGACTGGATTAATTGGCACCCCGAACGAAAAAAAGATCCATTGGTTAGTTGATGCGGTAATAATATAAAAGTCAACTAATAATATTCGGAAGAGGAAATTTACAGAAAAGCCCCCACATGTGTCTTCTTTATTTCCTCAATGGAGAGCCCTTCCCCTCCCTCGTGTCTCTTCCACATTTCAACATTAAACCCTAATTTCTAAATTCGATACTCTCCTCTCGATTTGAAAATAAAATCACTCTCCGTCTTCTGCTCTGAACCGTCGTTTAGTGTATTGCTCCGTCTTCCATGGATACTCAGCAGCAGCAGCAACAATCCGCCATTCAAGTAAGCTCTGAAAGCTACTCTCTCTTTTTTTCTTTTTTTATAAATCTCAAGTCTTTTGAATTTTGTCGTATTGTGGATTTTAGGGGGCGAAAGTGCTAATGGTTGGAGCAGGTGGGATTGGATGCGAGTTGCTCAAGACTCTTGCTCTCTCTGGTTTCCAAGACATTCATATCGTATGTTTACTCTACAAGTTTGTGTCTTTTCAGATTTGATTTTAGGGTTTAGGGTTCTTATGTTATTGATAAATTTTACATCTTTTTGAGCTTTTTGATTAGTATGGTTAATGAGATCACATTGAGATTCTCTACTTTGAACACTAGGAAACGTTGCTTAATATGTCTTCAAGAGGAGGACTTTAGTTTAGTGTCTGACTTCAAAGACTCTTGTCTGGATAGGCAATACATAGTTTGGGTTGTCTGAGCTATAAGATTAGGTTTTCTTCCTATGCTGTTTCAGCTAATTACTGGCTTGTGTTACAGATTGACATGGACACTATTGAAGTCAGTAACCTCAATAGGCAATTTCTATTCCGTCGTTCTCATGTTGGCCAGTCCAAGGCTAAGGTAATCTTTACTTCGTGAGCTAACTAACTTCCAAGAGATTCTACCAGTTCATAAGAGTTGCCGTATCACCAGGTTGCCAGGGATGCAGTCTTGAGATTTAGGCCTCGGATTAATATAAGTTCATACCATGCAAATGTCAAGAACCCCGAGTTCGATGTTGATTTTTTCAAGCAATTTGATGTTGTTCTGAATGGTCTTGATAACTTGGACGCTAGGCGGCATGTCAATCGCCTCTGTCTTGCAGCTGATGTTCCTCTTGTAGAAAGCGGCACAACTGGCTTCCTAGGACAGGTTCTTATTTCTCGAAAGAACACTTCTAATGCTAGGCTTCAATGGTCTAGCTGTTAGCATTTCCTCTATCTGACTTTGTAACATTTGTTTGTGTTCGACTCAGGTAACTGTGCACGTGAAGGGAAAGACAGAATGCTATGAGTGCCAAACCAAACCTGCTCCAAAGACATATCCTGTGTGTACAATAACCAGCACTCCAACTAAGGTATCAGTACTGTTTTGATCTTTGTGAATCTTGAAGAAATCATTTTATATCTGGAATAGTCTTTACCTAAGACGCAGTTCTTTATTTTGATGTGCAAATAAATTTTTGGATTGATTCTGCAGTTTGTGCACTGTATCGTGTGGGCAAAAGACCTGCTCTTTGCGAAGTTGTTTGGCGACAAGAATCAAGATAATGATCTTAATGTGCGTGCCAACAACGCTGCTAGCTCATCCAAAGAGACAGAAGATGTATTCGAACGTGCAGAAGATGAAGACATTGATCAGTACGGTAGAAAAATATATGATCATGTGTTTGGTTATAACATTGAAGCGGCGTTGTCCAATGAGGAGACATGGAAAAACCGTAGACGACCTAGGCCCATATACAGTAAAGATGTCTTGCCTGAAAGTCTGACTCAACAAAATGGGAGCATTCAGAATTGTTCTACTACTGATGATGATGATTCAACGGTCTCTGCCATGCCGTTGCTTGGCCTGAAGAATCCACAGGAACTGTGGGGTCTAACACAGAATTCTCTAGTGTTCATAGAAGCATTGAAGTTGTTCTTCGCCAAGAGAAAGAAGGTCTGTGTAGTCGTTTCTGTGAACTTTCCCCCTGTACATATCAAAGTTTCAGTGTACTGATTAGCTTATGGTTTTGTGTATATGCTGCCGCAGGAAATAGGACACCTTACTTTTGACAAAGATGATCAGTTAGCCGTAGAATTCGTCACTGCTGCTGCAAATATCCGCGCTGAGTCTTTTGGAATTCCTTTGCACAGTCTTTTTGAAGCCAAAGGCATCGCTGGGAACATTGTTCATGCCGTTGCTACGACTAACGCCATTGTTGCTGGTTTGATTGTTATTGAAGCAATCAAAGTACTGAAAAAGGATGCAGACAAGTACAGGTTTGTTACTTTGAAATCTTATTTCATAAGCTTTAGAGTCCTTAATATATTGTTTATACCATATTTATTCTCAACGTCTCTCTGTAGAATGACATACTGCTTAGAACACCCAAGCAGAAAGATGCTTCTTATGCCAGTCGAGCCATTTGAGCCTAATCCTGCTTGCTATGTCTGTTCCAAGGTATAAACATTACTCTTATTTAGCCTTCTTTCGTATACCTAACCGATTCAGGATTTTCTCCTTTTTTATATTGACAGACCCCTTTAGTACTTGAGATCAATACTCAGAAATCGAAACTACAGGATCTAGTTGATAAAATTGTCACAGCCAAGCTTGGAATGAACCTGCCACTGATTATGCATGGGGCATCACTTCTTTACGAAGTTGGTGATGATCTTGATGATATCATGGTTGCAAACTACAATGCTAATCTTGAAAAGGTTCGGTCTCTTTGCTCTTCAGACACAGGCTTGGATTTGGCAGTTTCTCACATGTTCGTTTTTTCTCAGTTTTTATCAGAACTCCCTTCTCCTGTTACCAATGGAAGCATTCTCACAGTGGAAGATCTTCAACAAGAGCTATCTTGCAAGATTAATGTCAAGCACAGGTTCCTTTTGTTTACCTTTTGAATCCTGTTTCAGTATCAGTTTTGGTTTCTGGGATTTTACCATACATCCTTGGACTTCTCTCAATTCATCAAATCACGAAAGCTTTAGTTTTTTGAGATGGGTTCTCAATAGACATCATCCTATTCACAGTCAGACGATTTATGCATCCTCTGTTTATTATGTGCTGTCACACAGGGAAGAATTTGACGAGGAAAAAGAACCTGAAGGAATGGTTCTCTCCGGATGGACACAATCTCCAGCCACCAACGGCGAGAGCGCATCAACATCAAACAATGAGAACGCTGTTGATGTCACAGAGAGTTCCTCAGGACTTGAGAATGCTTCAAAGAAGAGAAGACTCGCTGAGAATCAGGCAGAGAATGATAAGAAAGAAACAGAGAACGTTGAGAGCGATGATGACCTCATGGAGATTGAAAATCCTGTGATGGTGAGCAAGAAGAAGAAAAGAGTTGAATAGGCTTTTCTTAAAAACTCTGATCTCTGAATCTTTGCTTTTTTTTTTTTGTTCTTTCTACTTTATGAGGTTGTGTCACGAGAATTACATGTATGACTTAGGGGATTCTTTGATGGTGGGGGGAAGTAATTACTCAGATTGTTAAAGTACTTATTTAGGACAGGATCCTTTGAAGGAGGAGCTCAGCAAACTCAAGAGAAAGTAACTTGGCTTTCATAGGTTCTGTAATGTTTTCAAGTTTTCACTAACTGTCCGTTGTATCTTAAATTTCTCGTCACCAAAAGTATGTTTTCTTTGGAAGAAATCTTCTTCAACTCATCGGTAATTATACACCCTGTAATGCAAGGCACTGTAGGAGGAATATACTTCACATACGCTTGACAAATGTGTAATCTATCAAGAACCTACAAGATTGGAAGGTGAGTCGATAGATGCATTAGGAGTATTTAGCTATATACATGC